CTTAATTAATAATATTTAAGATCAATTCTTAAACATTTTTTCTGAAATTAAACATTTCATAAATTTTCTTGTGAAATTATTTGTAACATTAAGTTTCTTTTATTAATCATTAAACTTAGACGATTCATAGTTTAAAAACGCTAATACAATATTTATTTGCTTGAAGTTTATAAGATTCAAAGGTATGATAGCACTGTAAAGAATTTTTTGTTCACGGTCGTTGTAGTATTATTAGCATCTAACATGTAAATCGATGAATATTCACGTACGTTGAATAATTAAGCAAATTCGATAATTTAGAAGTGAATCTTTATAATGAATTCTTAGAATTAGCTCCTATCGTGAAAACTATATTCATATATAGCAGGCGCATTAGTGTACTATAGCTATCCATCAACACACCTGCATCTATACGCGATCGGGAAAAAAAATAAGAATTGCACTATGTTATTGATATTCATTTAATCGTGTGGTCGTTAGAATTATAGAAGATAAATTTTTCAATGACAATCTGCTTACTCAACTCGTCAAAAAGCTATATGATGATTGCGAGACAAATGAATTATTCAATGTTTTTTCGTTGTCCTACGTATAGTCACTTCAAGAGGTAAAGTAACATTGTATGCGACATACGTAATAAGATATAAATTAGTTTTCTATACTAAACGGTTAATAATTATAGGATTATTAAAAATTCTAATAAACACTATATTACCAATTATTTAAGTTGAGCACATAATGTTATGCACACATTTAAAATTGTGAAAATGTCAAATTGATATTAATGATGTTTATTTGTAATAAATTAAATATTTTAAACTATGATCATCCTTGAAAATAATTTGGAATCAACCGAGAATCATTATGAGAATTTATTATGAATTATAATTAATAGAATGTTAACTCTTTAATCAATTTAAAATGTGAAATTTAAATATATTGTATTTTCCAAAATACTTTTCTTGAATTTATCTAAAGTCTTTTAAAAAATTTTTGCTATTAGTCTCATAAATTTAGTGACCATTATTACACAGAATTTACTTAATAATTTCTAAGTAAATTGATATTTAATATATTATCTAAGTAAATTGATATTTTCATGACTCTTAAACAATTACACAATAACGGATCATATACAAGTTACAATTTAAAAATATTAATTTACAACATTAAATATTTTAATTTTGTTAATAATTCGATGTAATAAAAGATTTTTAATATGCCAGTAAGTAATTTATAATAAAAATATATAATCTATTGGGAACATCAACCAAATCGCATAAAATATTGTGGACATATTTATTATTTATAATTATTCTTAATATTCGATATGTAAAGAATATTTCATAAGGTAATTAAAGACTCTTTAATGTTTTGATATAATTTTTTATTATTGTAAAGTTAGTATTATACTCACATAATAAATAACATATCTGTTATAAATGATGAGTTCATTTAAATTGTAAAGTAAAATCATTTTTTAATTATTAACAATTTTACACTCCGTGTGTATTTTAAAATTAAAATAAGTTGATATAATTAAAGATTTTCATAAGTGTAGGTTGATTGTAACAGTTAGCATAATTTAATTTCTTACAAAGTAGATAATTATTTTATCGAAATAGATCTTCGATTATTGATGGTACGTAGTAGTGTTTTAATTGTGATTCATTAATCAGTCTTGTAGAGCGGGCAAACATTGAATATATGTTGTTTTACAATATTCATTTTATGTTAATACTATTATTGTACGTATATTTTATCATATTATTTTAAATGATTACATGATTTTATCATTTTTTGCCCGCAATACAAAAGTAAAATTAAGAAGTACTTAATTATATATTAACTAAACATTAATAAAAATTTCGATTATATACATAATGCAGAGGAGAGTCTCTATTTTAAAATGTCTTTTGTTTATAAGTCCGATTTTACGTGCACAAAAATCATATGAAATGAGATGAATGCTTTGCTCTTTATCAATTTAAATTAAACTACAGAAAATAAGACACTTTAACAGAATATAAATGTACAAAAATATGTCGCAGAGATACGTAATATGAAAGAAGAAATACGGTTCAGATTAAGTCGCTTCATTTGATTTTTTACTCATCGTCAATATATTTTATCGCATAGTAATGTCAATTAAGTTGAAAAAAAAGATATTAGTACAATAAATTCGCAATTTAAAACCAACGTGAAAAGGAAGTATGGGGATGGCGTACAATGCGGCTTCCTAGGTAAGCATCCAAACAATTTCGCTGTATAAGCAAAGTCGTTCCAGTCGCAGACCTTTTTACAAAAATTAAAACTATTATAATATATATATATATATATATATATATATATATATATTTATTTATTATTTTTTTAAATTTATTTATGTATATTTTGTGAACCATGTAGGAAACAGTGATTTCGAGTATTAGTTTAAAAAATGTGACGTACATATAAATTCTGTATTTAATTTATATGAAAATGTTGATTACACATTGTGCTTTACATACAAAAATGGAGATTATGTAATAGCCTTACAAAATAATTTCGGCACGGCTTTTGTTAATCGTGTATTATTTATTTATATTTCTTATTTTTCATTCTATTTAATCATTTTTATTTATTATATCGCAATAAATGCTGCATATTATGAAAGTAGGCAATTTAATATATCTATCATATATATAGGTATATTGTAAAAATTACTTATTCGCTTTTATGATTTTAAATTTGATTTTCTTGCCTTTCTTTAACTTTTCTTTTTATTTATATTCTCAAAAAGTTTAGAAAATCGAGATCTCCCGAAATCAGTGTTCACCAATGGTATTTTTTTAAATATACATATACGCGCGCAAGCGCGCGCATGCACACACACACACTATATATAACTATACACCTACAATAGTTAACAAGATAAGTCTGTAGCCTGATACACGACAGGTACAAAGTTTTTTTACTTTATGTTCAATCTAATCGATTAAACGGACTTAAAGTTAATCTTCTGTAATATCTATTTTATTTTATTCTTTGCGCTCTTAAATTTTAAGTTGCCTCTCGCACTTGCACGTAATAATTCGTTTTTTGAGGCGCCCCGCATTTTTGCAATTACGTCGAGGCACACGGAACGCCGAGAAATAGTTTCATCGACTTCTATTTTTTATTTTTGTATAACGTAGCTCCTTTAATTTAGATTGAAGAAGGGAATGAATTTCGAATATGTAATATGTGAAATATCCTCATGGAAACGTGCAAACTCCTACATATGTGTGAAATGTAAGTAAATTGGTAATCCCGATATATTCAAATTTATTGTTCGACAATACTTTTTATAAGCATTAAAGAAATCGCTCCAATTCAAAATAGTAAATATAAATTATAATCAATTTTGTTATTACAATAAAACAATTTAAAATGATTCTTATATTCATTATTTATTAATGCGTTACGTTGAATTATGTAAAAGGATGTAAAGATTCTACGGTAATCAAAGTTAATAAAAAAATTCACGAGCTGTTAAGAGTCTGACGACTCTAGTCATTACATATGACGTCAACTTTGTTAAATAAATTTTAAAAAGTATATTTACAAATTCTCCATCATACTAACATTATATAATTTATGCAGAATTACAATATTAAATGTTGCTTCTCATCTAAAGTGGAGCTCAGTTTTATCCAATTAATTAAGAATGAATCATGTAATCCATCAACATTATCATTATTTACAATATACTGAAAAAGTTATGTAGACTTTAAAGTTTTAAAGGATTTGCTTTTTCATTTTATATAAAATAAGTTAATTTGAAAATATACAGTTACTGTATGGGTTTTAAAATATTATTAGTAGTTATTCTAAATAAATTTTCAAGGCTGATTATTCATAAAAATCAATTCTTTTAAAATTAATTAAGTTTCGTTTTACTTTTAATAAACTATATTTTAGGAGTATATTTAAAACACGCAGTTCTTTTATACATTTATTAAGATTACATTCTTCTACTATAATAAATATAAAAATGATTGGCATTCAATACTTGGCTTCTATTTTTTGTTGTCATTATGTTAAGTGTAACTAGGTTGCTTAGAAAAATTGACATGGAAAGATGTTAAGAATGGTTACGGACCACAATTTTATTACGAGTACATTTCGTTTTCTTATAAAATTTATTATTTGATTTAAAACAGATCGATGAGCTTCATAAATAGGAATATAAATATGGATAAAACATAAATGATATTATAATATAAACTGACAATGGATCAAAAAGGACGGAAGCAGGAAAATCAAATACATTTTGGAATGTACTATCTTGTATAAAGGCGTATTAAAATATCATATTTGCTCGATACAAATGATCATTGAAAAAATACTCTCAAATATTCAGTACATTCTAAACTCCATAAAATATAGTTGAAAAATTATATAAGTTATATGTAGGTAATTGAATAATGAAGTTTATAATATTAAAATCCAGCAATTACTTATAATAGACAATATGATTTTCAAAAAGCATAGATAATATAAGATTCCAATCTCTAACTCTCTTAAATTGTAAGTATAATTTTTTAATGACAATATAAACTTTTAGTTTGAAAATATACAAGATTTAATTGCATTAATCGTTTTATGCCTTCGTGAAATGCACAACAGATCAAATACAAAATAGAATACTTATGATAATATTCCAATAAATATTCATTTTGCCCTTTGAAAAATTGTTAATATCTAATAAATACCATTAATAGCAATAATCATGCAAACAAAAGAAAGATCATTTATACTAAATTTATAATCAAATTAAAAAATATAACAAATCATATTAGCTTGATCAAATTCATAAATAAGTTAATATTTATTAGAATATATATGTATTATTAAAACATATAGGGATCAATCTTTATTGCGATTCAATTACGTATTCTATAATTTTTTTACAAATAATGAGTTGTTTCAACAAAAATCAAGCACACGTCAACTTTTTATAAAATAATACACACATACTGAAGACATAAGAAAATTAAATAATGCAGCTTTCATTTAAGAAACAATTTATAATAACGTAGCTAAAAATTGTCTAACTATAGTACTAATCTGTCTAAAGAGCCATTGAATAATTTTTCTTTGAAAACTCATTATAAGAAATGAGATAAATATCATTAGAATCAACAGTATTGTAGTCCGGAGCCACTTTCAAATCTTAATTATTGTTTATGTTAGTATATAGTAATTCTCACGCAACAAGCTACAATATCGTCAATTTGCAGAGTCGCTCAATAGGAAACTGACAATCTGCAAATCGTCTTCGATTCTGCGTGTTAAAATAGCTGGGACGTCTGCGTCCTTTATTTTATATGGCAATAACGGCGTTGGTAGTGGTGGCGGAGATGGTTACGGTAACAACGGCAGCGATGTGTGCTATGGTTATTATGGATTGAGGCCCTGGCGCTTTTCTTCCTCTAGCATTGCATCGAGCTCGTTCGTAAGATTAGTCAACATGTTACCGATGTCGTTCAGCACGTCTGCAGGTTCGCTGCTCGAGTGATGCTGGTGTTGGTGTTGATGCTGGGACATCATGTGGTTGGGACTGTTGGCGTACTCTTGGGCCACGCGTGCTGCGCGCTGCTTTATCGTTCCGGCATTCTCGTTGGCAAAGGGCAGTGAATCAGACTCTGTGCTGGAATTTGACTGAAACATAAATGAATTCCGTTAGTTAAAATACGAATGTGAATTATTTTTACCGTACTCATTGCTCTTTTCCTGCAGCAGACCTACGTCTTATATAATACGACCGTCATAATGACTAATTTACTCTGCGGATCTGATTGAAATTACTATCACCTACTACATTTTGAATGTTTATACTTGAAATGTTATTTCATTTTTTTTTTTTGGTATTTCGTATTAAATAAAAAATACAAGCAATCAAACATAGTAAGTAAATTTTATATTAATTTCTACTTCCAATAAAACTAAAACCTCATTTGTCTATATTAAATTTATATTTTTATTTTAAAAAACAATATAGTACCTAGATTGGGAAATTTTAATTATCTTTCTATTGTTGGAAATCATGGACTACTTGTTATTTTAAAAAAGATTGAATGTCATTGATATATGTTTTAAATAAGTATATCAGTTTATCACCGTTATTGATTACAGTATTTTCGAAATTTCAAAAATCGAATGAACTTATAAAAAAAGAACTTATAAAAAAACAATTTATGTTGCTGTTTATGCGTCTTATATTATTAATTTTGCACCATAAAATCATTACGTTTTTACTATTATTCAAGTTTTATTCAATTGTTATGCATTATACCAATGGTAGTTGTAATTTGTTCTGAAATAAGTAATTGAATATTATATGAAATATATAAATTAAAATCTAGCACATCTTTAAATTAAAATACTGATTGATTGTTTTATAATTTACCGTATACCATTATTCGTAATCTTATTATTCGTATAGTATTCGAAATCTTCGAGAGTTTTAAAAGTGATTATTCTAACTAAATATGTATTAAGCAATATTCTCATACTTCAAAATCAACTGAAATTTGCATAAATTCACGGTTATCTTTGTTGATCAATACGATAAGATAAGAGAAAGAGATATAAGAAAAAAAAAGTGTTATAGTATACTTATGTGTATCGTTGTCCCTACTGTATATAACTATGATACAGGAACTAGTAATGCACGTATGTTCAAATGATTTAAAAGAATAGTGTATTTTGTTAAATGCAAAAATAAAATAATATATAATAAGTTTGGTGCTTCAAGGGAAGGATGACTGTAGGTATTTGCACCTTAAAGCTAGCATCGGAGCCGTTGCGATGCTGCAAGGCAAGAGTGGCTATGGGTTCGTGTTCCTCGTTGACGTTAGCGCTCACGCTGCCCCAACTGCGCGACATAGAGGATGGCGGTCGAACAAGCTGTGAGGGCGTCGGGCTAACATTTGGTGCTTGGGACGCCGGTGACCCTGATAATACGTGCTGCAGATGATGGTGGTGGTGTTGTTGCATGAGCCGCTGGTGATGTTCCTCGCACGTGGTTGTGGGTACAGGACCGCTGCAGTCGATGACTATATCCCCGTTACCACTACAGACACTGCTCACCGAGGAGGCAGAGCCAAGTTCACGGGAGCTCTGGCGCCGTGGTGGCGAGGGAGGCCGCCGCTTTAAGAGGCTCGGACTGCTGTCCAGTCCATATGTTAACTGGTACTTGTTATCGAAGTCGCGAGGCAACGATTTGAACTGGCCGGACGTTGCCTGAATCTGAGAAAAGAAAGTCTACTCTTGTGAATATATCTAAAAAATATATACATCTAAAGTGATAATGCGAGTTTCTGAGATGTTATACTTTCTTTGTAGGCAGATGACCAATTGCGAAATACGGCCCCTAAATAAATCCAGTAGATCAAATAACAATAGTCTTTTTAACAAAATTGACGTACTAATGATACATGTTTAAGTAAAAATGAGCCGAATGTGAAATAGTTTTTACACATCAAAACACAAATTACATTTTTTATATAATATGAGTAATCGTATTATGGTATTGTATAATATTGCTATTATAACTATTGGTTGAAAGCACTCGAAATGAAATAGAAATGGTAACGGTAAGACAAAAAGCATGGAAATGACGTAAAAAATGTTGGTCATTTAACATTGTTCGTTAGATTGCAATTTCAAAAACTGTAATTGGCAAGCTAAACTTCCGGGCTCTCTGGAGTATTTATAGCTCCTCCTCCTCCCATACATAAATTTCGTATAAAAACATGAGCGAATCGAAGTTCGGGAACTGCAGAGATGTCTTTGCTTACCTTGGCAATAGGTCGAGGTCGTACGAGGCAGTGTCGTGGCCTCGGCAAGGTTCCACCACCAATGTTCTCGATAACGAGTGTATGGTCGTTGGTGGGTGTAAGGTCACCGTCGTCGTAGCTGCGCGGCCGCCAGTCGAGAATCTGAGGCTGATGGGACTGGGGTGCGGGTGAGGGTGGATAACCCAAGGGTACATCTTCAAGACTCTCTAAGGATTTGCCACGTGAATAGCCACCGCTATTGCCGCTATTGCCACAAATAGAACCACCTCGGCCGACAGTAGCGTAGTCAAGGCTTCCAGGCAGGGCCGCGTACATGCTGCGCCATCCTGCCACAGATGCACCGTTCCCACTACTCATATTGTCCACCGGACGCTGGAATGATCTGAGGATCGGCGAGGAGCAGTCTTCGTCGGGAGACGGTAAATCATGACCACCACGCTGAATTACCACGTCCTGAAAAAATTACGGAATTAGTTATTGCTTTATATTTATGTCACGGAAACTATGTCAAGGAATCACTAGATTTCGCGATAAATCGATTGCCACATAGCTATGCCTCATTATATTTTAAACGATATTAATAATATAAATCGTTCATCGATGAATTATCAGAGAAGATAAATTTTTATTGTCGTGCATGATCGAATATGAGGTAATTTTTAATAGATCTGTTGTATTACGTTTTTAAACTAATAGGAGACCTATGTACGTAATAATAAATAACGGGGCATACCGTTTATAAACAAAGAAAAATATTTTTGTGTACTGGCATATCTACATATATAATCAATAAATTTATGTATAGAAATATCTTATCAAAATATCAATTATGCATGTAAAACTTAGCAACCTCTTCATTATTCACTCTTACATAACTATTAATCGATTTGTTGACTTACTAATCCCATTCATTTATATTGGAATTATAAATTATGAAATTATGAAATATTGGAATTATAAATTATGAAAATATGTAAAATAGATCCATGTTCTTGTTGTAAAAATAAATATGGACAAATTATTACAATAAAACTCGCACTGACAATTTTGCTTATTTATGTAAGTATTACAAAATCAATCCTTTATAATAATGTTTATTGTAGAAACCGATGAAATTTATGGAAACGCACTTAATTTTTATCTTATTGTATTCGAGCTTCTGCAATAAGAGTAGTCATTACTTACCTGCGTGTGTCCAGGATGGGGCGGAAGTCTTGCTAGGTCCAGAGGCTGTATTCGTTTGCCGGCTTTGATGTCTTTGACCCGCTTAATTGCAAGGAGCAGTTTCTTTTGATGACCTAGCCTCACGATTCCAATATCCTCAAGATCCTCCCAAGTAAGGATCGTGACGTCTTCAACACAGCGCATGCCTTGCTGGTGCAGGGCACCAAGGTACTCCTCGAGCCTAAGCAGCCTAAGCCACTCTTCGAGGGAACCGGGCACATGCTCCGGAAGCCCGTCACCCACATTCAGGTTGTCGATCTCGGTCTTTAGTCGCTTTCTATGGTTCGGCTTTTTTATACCTGCGTGCAGCGATTGACAGACTCTCATTTTCACGAAAAATAGACGAACCAATCTTACATGTCAAATTATTTACGCGAGTTCATACTTCGTTAAAAGACAACGGATTCCCTTGACCCGATTTTTTAATAAATTTGTTTTTAATGCAAATTAAAAAAAAGTTAAAAGTAACTAGTATTCCTCTTATTTTATGTTGATAAAAAATCTAACGTTACAAAAAACTACACTTAAGATTAAAATTGTTATAATAGTTCAGACACTATTAAAATTCTCTTTTTAAAATGTATAAAAATAAACTGTATAATATTGTATATTTTATTGTAAGAATATAATTGCAACGGAGAAATTGAATATTTACTAGCGCAAATACTTAATGAAAACAAAAGTTTTTTAAAAATCATTTAAAAATTTAAATCATTATGAGAATTTATCATAATGCAAATATCCACAAGTTGATGATATATGAATAATTAAAAAGAAAGTATTGGGATATCAAAGGAAAAATAACTGTAAACTTTCCAGTAATATAGATAAATTGATATTATTTGAGAAATATTGTATACAGATATATTAAATATACAGTTATGACTGTATTTCAATTTACATATATATTAAATATATTAATATATATTAATAAATATTTAATTAAAATAGTTTAATTACAATAAATTTTATTTACAATATCTTGTACCAAATATTATTTATAATAGATTTTTTACGCTAAGCGTGAATAATAAATTTTTACATGTTTTTACACTTAGTAAAATAATAGATTTTTTTATTTTATATTTATTATATCATTCAAAAACTTGATTGACAAAAAACATTATAAATTTTATACGTATTTATCAATTATACAAAGAATTTACTACTTTTGTCAGCAAATTTACAGATGTAAACTAATGCATTTAAAAAGTCTATAATAGTAGTAGTATATTTATTAGTAAATAATTATATAAATAAATGAGGTTCAAAGATAATTATTTAACTCGTTAGCTTGAGGCTTAATGATATTTTTAATTTAATTGCTAATTGGTTAGTCAATAAGGTATGATGATCAATTTGATTGATTAGTGCAGACTTAATCGTCAAGTGTTTGGTAAGCATATAACGATCATATATTACAGCTGACTAATCTTAAGAAAGTTGGAATTAGCAACAGTAACGAAGAATTTTTAAGAGCACGTTATAAACCTATAAACGACGTAAATTATTTGTGATGAAAATAGAGATAATAAAGTAAATAGAAAAAAGTGAAAATTATTGAAGAGCCACGGAAAACGGGTAAAACTATACAGAGTATGAAATTACATTTAAACACATGGTTGAGGAGTGTAGTGTGTAATAAAATGTGAGATCCTTGTAGCTTACCAATAGCTGTGAGATCTTCTGGGGTCATGCGGGTGATGGTAGCGAGGTCGTAACCGGCAGAGGCGAATAATGGAAAGTACTCGTCGAATTGGAGTTCGGTCAACCAGGCGTGAACACCGTCGAGGTCGCTCGGTCTGTCTGGATGGCTGCCCAACGAGCTGATCGAACATCTCGGCGAGGAAGTAAGGGCTCCTGCGCTGCGTGGCCCCAAGTGATAGCCCGAAGCGCGTCCTGAGTCCAACGAAGCCGTTGAGTGTCGTGAACCTGAGCCGGAGCCTGAACTGCCGGGACTATCCCTGCCTGGACTCTGAGTCATGTCGATTCCTGGACAAGCGAGCTCTTTTTATTTTGTTTCACGACACAAGAGATACTCCTAACTTAGATTTAATTTCATGATAATCTTTTACAGACTTGTGCCTTCGGTTATATTTAGATCGTATTATAATATTTTTACGTCAACAATGCATTTTTGCAATTTTGCAGAACTTGAAACATCATTATATAGAACTACTTTACTAATCTAATTAAGGTATTGGATGAAAGTTGTTTAGTACGACGAAATGAATTTAGTATGCTTATTGAAAATATTGATTTATACGATGAACTTCCAGATTTAAGTACATATTTTATTTATTTTGTATTAGATCTAATGCTACCGAAACTTTGAGAAATGTGATTTCTTAAAGTAAGTTCCTTAAATTATGCCCTTAAATAGTTTGCAAACTTAATTGTGATTTCAAAAGTAAGCCAAAAGGATGTTGGTAAATCATGGTATGAATTATACAGGACAATAATGTAATATGAATTTTAACTTGTATCTTCGATGTTAGTAAGCCAAATAATTAATAATCAATGAAATGGCAACGTTTTTAATTAGACCATTTATCTCCTATATTTTTCATATTTTTCTGTCATTTATCAGTACTGAAAAATGGCTTAAATTTCATTGTTCTTAATTCACGAGAAAGTCTTCCATCCTGCATTGTACAAAAATGCATTTAATTATTCTTTAAACTTCTTATCTAATGCATAATTTCGCTCTTAATAATTTTATATTCTATTTAAATACACAGGTTTAGATTAATCAAACACCTTTAAAGTAAATTCCTGTAATATCGAATTTTGTAAATTATGCTTCCCTTACACGATACCTGTATATTTGATTTGATTGAAAAAAAAAAAATATATATATATATATATATATGGGCGCACGTGCAGATTTGACATTATTTTTAATACAATAGTTTTTATAACATAAGTTTCAGATAATAAGATTCTAAAATAGAATATAAATAGCTTCAAAACGATAGAAGATAAAATGTGCATTGGTTGGTTGAAAAATAACCTCATATCAGGATTGTATATACCACTACTCGTGTTAGTAATTTGTAATGAAAGCCACGTAACATTAAAAGATTTAACAAATAGATCTAATTTTTTAATTTAAAATATTTACGAATAAGTTGAATAGACGCAGCGAGCATCAAATGAGTAAAAATAAAATAAATATAACAAGATTTGCTTACGCTAGAGGAAGTTGACTTAGCAGACTTTTCTCATGCAAACGTGCAGTGATCATTCGAGCAATATTCTGGGAACTGGGAATTCTTGCAAGGGTTTGCACTTTGTCTCAGCGCTTGCTATCTTTAACCATCTATTCGAGAAGCTATTGTGCTAATCAAAGGGGTGGGGGCCAGATGAAATCGGAGGATGAGGAGATGAAAAGGGGGTCGTGCTTACAATCGTGACTACATACCTTGATCCTCGGCATGGGCGTACTTGCCGACCATTGGCGGGAAGGAGAAGCCTGGATGCGTGAAAATGGGACCGGGGCTTTTACCCGCAGGCATTCCATAGGAGCCGTCATCACCGTTGGGTCCACCAGGATTACCCCCTCCGGTCATGTTCAGACTTCCACCTGCTCCTCCGTTGTTCGACAATGCGACCAGTCATCCTCGCTGCTGGCGTAACCGGCTGACCCGAAGGACGCTCCCGAATGCCGGAAGTCATTGGGGACCGAGGGTGGCGCCACCTTCTTCACCTGGGTTACTGCTTTCGACGGTCGACTCATGCCGCCGACTAGAAATCAGTAAAAACCGCACATTTTCAATTGTTATTTCTTTTTTATATATTTTTTTTTTCATGTCCACAGATCCATTTATTAGCCCGCACATACTTTTTATAATTATTAACTTTTTATTAACTAACGTATACAAATTCAGCGAGATGCTTAAACTTAAATACCGCCTACTCGTCATTACAACCTGGGTCAAATGAAATTTTCATCTCGTTCTAGATCGGTGTATCTTTTAAAACACGATATAAAAAAGTAACCGCATAATTTATAAAATATATTTTGGTATAGTCCAATATTCGTCCTCTCATAACTCTTTCATTATAAAAAAGTTTAAGGGCTCATTTGGACGCTTCTAAATGTAGACTCACTAATGTTTATTTATCACTTTGTGTAATGATAAATCATATCAATGTGGTGGTAATAGTGTTTAATCTTTGAAAATTTTTAAAACTTTTTTTAAAATGTATGCATAATCGATATAACGACTCGCCTAGAAAAGGTTGATGGTCAACGACACATTAAAAAAATTATAATATGCCAATTCGATTAATTTATTAACGTACGAAATCTAATATACTTGTCCATAATATGAGCTTACTTCACTTCTTACGTGTATACATATATCTACGATTTTAATATAAAAATCATCATCATAATATGTTTCAGTACTCTAATGTTCTAATTCAAATTTGTAATAAGGCGATATCACGAGGAATACTTTAACAATGTTAATATATGCTTTCTTAATAAAACATCCATTTAATCTGTCCATTTCATATAATTATAAAATTAACTTAACATATTATTCGTTTCTTATAAGAATATTATGCCCTGCAAGTGCTCACGAATAACATTATAGTCTAACTTAAATTTTTCTGGATCTATAATGTTAGAGTAATAATATGCACATATTTTTTCTCTGATATCGAATAGCGATAAATTGAGCATATACAAAATCATAAAATAAATTATTTATGATTTTATATCTTCTATTCTCCTGAAAATGATAGAATGCTCATGGGGCAGTCAGTTGTGTGGCAAGGTAATGATGGTAACTAGTAGCGATATTTTTCGAACGCATGTGTGAAAAAAATCGAGGACATAAAGGCTACAACTAAAAGGAAAACTAAAAAGGAATGAGAAAAGTAAAGAGGTATACAAAAAAAATAATAAGTTTTTGAATTCAAATAGAATAACTGTAGATGCAGAAAAAAGATAGACGTCTGACGAAAGTTCACACAAAATATTTTTCAAGAAAGATAAGCAAGATGAAAAGGATGAGGGGACCGAAGAAAAATAAATACGAGTGCGATAGAGTATGAAGAGAGGTTTTAAAAAATATATTCGCGCATATGCCCGAATATTTAAATGAGAAGAGCAGGGGAAATCAGGTTCTACTAAATTTAAAAGCGGACCAATTTTCTTTGGATGGCTTCGAAAAATAATTTCTGTCGTCCTATAAAGGCCTCGCATTCGCTCTTACATTACTATAGCCTACCTTACGTAACATACATTACGTAACGTACATTACGTAAGTGATATTTTATTTTAATATTTGATTTAAATATGTCTGTCATTGTGATTTAAATAAATTATTTTTCTTAAATACCAGCTTTAAGGAAAAATCTAAGGAATTTATAAGAAAAATAACTATTTTATAATAAAAGTATCTACAGATAAATAAATCACTATTTTTTGTCAGTTACTATAAAAATAATTTCTTTTATAAATAAACTTTATTTACCTATTTATAACTATTAAAACTACTAAGAGTTATTGAATATTCGTTAATTTCAAAATTATATATTATTTTAATTTCTTTGTGAAAAGCATATAAATATATCAAAACAACTTATTAACGCATTATCGAACATGTTAACAATAATTATAAAATCATAATATGAATTATAAATTGCGATTAATCAATTATAGTTAATTTCTGCAACAAAAAACTTTAATAATACGGATATAATTTATCAATATAATATCAATGTATGACATTCTGAAACTGATTATATGTATATATATATATATATATATATATATATATATATATATATAATATATACTATATAAAATATATACTATATATTTTTAGATATAATTAATTTTAGTTCAGTTTAATAAGAAATAGAATTATTAATAAAACTTGAAACTTCAAAGTTCTATCGTTTTTATACATAGATCCCTATATGTTTATTCAGGTAAAAAAAATTAAATTGTTAATTTCCTGAAATTCCGTTAAAAGAAAATAATAAAGATATACGAGACAATAAAGTATAAAAAAAACTCTTGTTCGTATCAAGAAGAAATACAAAACTATCTTTCCATGAGATTTATCATCACAGCTCTTACACAGCTCTTAGTCTTATGTCATATAAGAATCAATTCAATTCTAATGCTAAGTAATAGATAATATATACAATAAAAAATTTCTCAATTTTTAATCGAAACGGTTATTCTGTTTATAATTAGAAATTTAACCGATGATTTCTTGTCTCAATAACTTTTTAGACGAATATTTCTTTGTTTTAAAATTTCTCGTTTTCACTTAATAATTTCATAAGTTAACAATTATTAAAGTAATATAAATTGTTCTTGTACATTGCCTATATTTCTAATCGATCAATTATGTAATAAATACTATGATACTTAATTTTTGTTTGCAACAAAATAATATTTGTTAATTTCACACTGCTTCAAATTCATGATAATTATATATATCTTTTTTCATATAAACATTTATGTAAGACTAATTTAAATCTAACTTTTCTATTAATCATTTTACCAATATTAAAAAATTCTTCATTTATCAACAATTTTGAAGAATCTATAATAAGATTGTTACTATCAATGTACAACAAACAAAGTTGATTATGTAATTCATCATGTTTTATTAGTATATATTTGCAATCCTAACTCAACACTAGGTTAAGGTAACCTAACAACAATAGGTTTAATTTTTTATAATTTATGATAGCATTGTTTTTTATTTATCACATTTAAATACATGTATTTATACTGAAACTATTTAGTTTGACAATATTTTTAAATAAAATACGAATAATTCAAAATAAAAAAAGGAAAAAATAAAATGACATATTCTTAATATTCGAAATTTGTACGATTCCAAGACAGTGTATTATTTGTAAACTTTTAATTCAGAAATAAAAAAAATAATACTTAGCAAGCGAAGCCGTTTTATATAGTTAAAAGATTTAATAGATTTTAGATTATAAATAGTTTGATTTAGATATATTGATATATTTAAATAATTACAAATTTAATAGCTTGAATATTCGCTCCAATATTCTACTACAATTGCTTTTATAAATTGTAAATAGAAGCTACATAAATATAGATACTACAACGAAAGTAAATTACAACTATCGCATTCCAATTCTAAGAAATCTTGTAATTTCTTCAAAGCTGAATTACATTTGTATCATTAATAGTAATTGACAGGATACGCAAGCAGATATGTAATAGCGATCGCTGAACTTTCGAGGGCTAGTGGGCAATTCTAAATGTAGACTCATGCCATTCCTAAATATGCAAAAATAAGAGGGAATTCGTTTTCGTTCTAATCCCTTAAAATAAATACATATAAGTCTGAGAGCAAAATACTATCAACAATTTATCACATATCTAATCTCTTCTGTGTATTTTGTAAATGCTCTAGAAAAGCGTTCAATATATTATTTTTTTCCAGGTGGTTGAATTTCGCTTTTAATAAGCCGCTAGGCAAATAAGGTCAATCACTCGATAGTTGATCAGACAATAACAGTCAAATTTCTGTAGATGAACATTAAGTCGAAAAGGTATGTCTTTGAAAATTGATGCTTGTTTTGTGGCTCGGACTGCTAATTCAATAGTTCAATGAATTAGCCTCTTACCATAGAGATTAGTAGGAAAAAAAATACAAGTGAAAGGGTTGAAAATATGTACAATGTATATTCTTGAATTAAGACATCGTTTATTCTGGTTTATTAATAATTACAGTATTGCAGTTTTATGATTGCTTAAGGTGAGAGAGAGGGAATAATTCTATTGCTGTGGTGAGGTTGCTTCTTCGTGATGGTGGCGATGTCGTTGATGTTATGGATATTGGTAAGGATGTTGAATATTGGGTCTATGCTGATGTTGTAAAAATCAGCATGAGCAGTCGACCATGCTCATGAGGTGAGCATAGGAAAAATGGGTAGTGCTTATCAGGAGAGAATACTAAGTCTCTGTGGTAGTTGTCATGTAAATCGACCATACCCAAAGGGGAGTAGGGAGTATTAGAGAGCTTGTCACACGCATGAACAATAATGATAAACCTTCAAGTGCGGAAGGACTTGATACAATGTAGTTATAGTCGACTATTTGATAAACTGATGCTTGTTGCTATGCCGAAAATCTTAGTGACGTCAGATAACGAAGCTCTGGAATATTCTAGAAGTATCGAAGGATACAGCCTTGACAGGTTCTAGAAGTTTCATCGTCGTTGCTATGCGGAAATATTGTCGTAATTCGGTGAATCGTGTTTACACATATGAGCGCCCGGGAGCTTGTACTTTTCCCAATTTAAAATTCGTGAAAATTGCTCCGATTCCCGAACAGTATGTGACATACGAAAGCGGATCTTCAGTTATTATTTAAAAATTTTGTGGATGAAGTTTTTGTTATAAATAGGAAGACTTATAAAATTTAAATATATTTAATTAAATTAATTTTTTATATATATTTTTTGTATTATTTTTATTTTATTGTTATATATATATATATATATATATATATAAAATAAAAATAAAATAATTAAAAAAAATTAAATTAAAAAATATAAATAAAAAAATATAAAAAGACTTATAAAAAAAGACTTAAAAAAAATGTATAACAATGTTGGTTTATGGTGAAGGTTGTAATTATTTTAGTGAGGAGATAATTTCTTAAAGCAATCAGTATAAGAAAATTAAAATGTCAAAAAGGAAAGAGTTAATGATTTTAATGTAAATATTGT